GCTAAAGTCAAATAGGCCTGGTGGAAATAGGACAGGCCAGGGAAACCACACGTTTAAACCCCTGAAAGCCAGACACCCTCGCGATATAACCGCCGAGCAATCTACAAAACTTCAAAGAGTACGCTTCGGCGAGGCGCGTCCATAGGAGCCCTGACATGGGGTCGAGGCCAGAGAGGATGATGTGGCGTTTCCCCGAAAAAGAGCAGAAACATTTCCTACAGCTACAGCGAGTCACCACGGCGGTCTCAAGACGATGGCGGGCCCAGCAGGCCACTCTCGTGTACTTCCGCCAGCGCGCGCCGAACGCGCACATGTCAAGGTCGTGGATCGCCACATCGGGAGCCTCAAGCAGCCGCTGCATACCTGGAGTCCGCCACATCCAAGAGTTCCCAAGATTCTCGGGCAGAACGGGCACCCCACGCGCGCGACACACCGAGATCACGCCCAAGACGAACCTCAGCTGGTGGTTGCCTAGCTCCACGGCCGCGCGAGGCCTGCCCGAAAGTCCCGGGAGGCCCCAGACGTGTTCCTGAGACCGTATCGCGCACCACGACGACCCAGGCGGCCCATGACGGGCCAGGCTCCACGAACTGCACGGCAGGGCGATCCACACGGCAGCGCAGACGCCCCCGCGAATCCAACCTCTGAGCGTCTGACGGACGACAGGCAAGTCGAGATCAAATCACGGGCTTGAGGCGAAGTCCATCGGCAGCGCGGCGATGCCCTTGCGCCGCAGCGCCGCCGACAGGCGGCCTGTGCCAGCGAACGGCTCTAAAACGGCCGTGCGAGGGGAGCCTTTCTGACGCCTGAAGCTGTGGTGGAGTTCTCTGAGAAGGTGGCGACGCTGCATTCGACAGCCTCCCCTCGCGGTCGGCGGCGAACTCTACTGCTCGCGCAAGGTCAGGCTGGGCACGGGCACCGCGCGCCCCGTCAGGAAAATGTCGGAGAGGGCGGCGTCCATCGCCTGGCCGCAGGCGATGATCCTTGGGCCCAGCCGCTGCAGCTCCGCGATGATGCGCGCCTGCTTGGCGCACCGCTTGAAGTTGCGATCGGAGGCCCAACCGCCCCGCTGCTGCACCTCGAGAACCTGGCGCCTCTTGGAGAGGAGGTCGTCGGAAGCTCCTCCGTGGCGCAGGCCGTGCGCTGGGGCTGGAAAGTCGTTCAGGCCCAGCGCGCAGACGGCCTCCTTCATGCACGTGCCCAGTGAGCCTGGAGGGAACGACCGGTGCCGAACTGTCGGCGAGCCCGCCCGCCGCTTGAGGCTCAGAAGAGCTGGGGTAAAGAACGCGAAGGTGTCGAGGACGATCGTGAAGTCCCACGGGCCTGTCTTCCCCGGGCGGCCCAGCTCGCCTGGATGCAGCAGAAGCGCGGAGAGCCCCGAGCCCCCGGCGGCCGCCCCGACGGGCGGGGCGATCTGCATCGCGGTGAGGAGGTCGGCTTCCGACGGGCGCAGGTAGCAGGCGAAGCTCAGGATCATGGCGATGGCATGCTCCGAGAGAGCGTGATCCACCGCCGCTTTACTGTGGAAAATTGCCAGCCCTCTTCCTCCGGAGCCCGGGGGTCGCCCCCCCCCCCCCTCCGAAAATCCCCCCCCCCCCTGCTGGAACCCCCCCCTCCCCTAACCCCCCCTCCTCCCCCGGCAAAACCATCCCCTCCCCTACCCCCTCCCCCCCCCCCTCTCTCGAAAACCGGGGGGGGGTCATGCGGGTTCGAACCCTCCTCACCCCTCCCCCCCTCCGGATCTGGAAAACCGGGGGGGGTCACTACCGGTTCGAGCCCCTCCCACCCCCTCCCCCCTCCGGGTCTGGAAAACCGAAGGGGGTCACTACCGGTTCGAACCCCCCCACTTTCGAAAACCGGAGGAGGGCCACTACCGGTTCGACCCCCCTCCCCCCACGCACCGCCAGCAAACGACTCCCGGCCCCTACCACCGCTCGCATCACATCCCCCACTGTTCCCAGCACCACTGTCCTCACCACCACTGTCCCCGCTGGTTCCACCACCGTCCCCACTGTCCCCACCAGTGCCCCCACCACTGTCGCATTGTCCCCACTGTGCCCACCACTGTTCCCACCACGGCTCCACTCTCCCCACTGTCTCCACGGACCCAACCACTGCCCGACTATCCCCACTGTCCCCACTGTCCCACTGACTCCTCCGCTGTCCCAGTGAGCTGTCCCACTGTTCCCACCACTGTCCCCGCTGTCCCCACCGCTGCCCCCGCTGCACCTCTGCCCCATTGTCCCGCCGCCGTCCTCCCCGCCGCCTTCGGATCACCACTGTCCCCACCACCATTGTACCCTCCACTGCCCCACTGTTTCCACCTCATTCCCACTGTCCCCACACCGCTGCCCCCACCACCACCGCCCCCACCACTGTCCACTGTGCCCCCCGTTCCCACCATTGCCCCCACCACTGCCCCCACCACTACCGCCCCCACCGCTGTCCCACTGCCCCACTGCCCCCGCCACTGCCCCGCTGCCCCCTCGCCACTGCTCCCGCCAACACCGCCCCCGCCGCTGTCCGCACCCCCACTCGGTTTTCGAAGGGGGGGGGGGGGTTCGAACCGGCAGTGACCCCCCTCGGTTTTCGAGGAGGGGGGGGGGGGGCAGGGGGTTCGAACCGGTAGCGACCCCACCCCCACCCCCGGGGGAAGGGGGGGGGGGGTTCGAACCGGCAGTGGCCCCCCCCCGGTTTCCCAGAGGGGGGGGGAGGCGTTCGGACCGGTAGTGACCCCCCCCGGTTTTCCGCCAGCAGCGGTAGAACACGCTCTTCCCCTGCTCCAGATGTCCGCGCTGCAGCATCACCCCCGCCAGCGCTGCCACCGGCAGACACGGCAGCGGCATGCGCATCCGCCGAGGGGCGCACTTGCCCCAGCCCGCCAGGGTGCGCGGTGCACGGCAGAGCACCTGGTCGCCCCAACGCCCGATCGGCGGCAGGAAGAACTTCAGCGCGGCAAGGAGGCGAGAAGCATCGTCCCCGCTGTGGCCCTGGAAGTAGAGGTAATCGAAATACACCACCACGATCGAGTCGAGCTGCTGCCGCTCGCTCCAGTCCAGGTGGAGCTCGCGACACCATTAGATGAACGCCGAGGCGCGCCTCCGGTAGTCGGCGAGCGCGGCCTTGCCGACGGACCGCTGCTCGAGGCACGTCAAGCCCATCATCGGGGAGCCCCAGAGGGCCTCGCGCTGACGGGCTGCCGCCGCCGCCGGCACAGGCGCCATGAGGATGCCAGAGCCAGACGCCTGGAGGACGGGCCGATCGCCCCGTCGGCATCGGAGGCTTCGCCGCCCGCAGGCGCTTTCCCGCCTGGTCCTGCATCGCGCGACAGACGAGCACCAAGCCCAGAAGCCACCTCGGACTCGATTGCCTTGATGTAGGGCAAACCGCGGGATGGCCCATGGGGGGGGTTGAGCTCGCTCGGAATCCATCGAGCGACGACGCGCAGCTTGCGCCCGAGCGAGAGCGCACAGATCTCCCGGAGAACGCTCCGCCGTTGCGGCGAGGCGCCCCGTCCCTCCCCAATGGCCAGGGCGAGCGACATGTTGTCGACGAGGCAGACGATCCTGCGACCGAAGGCCGAGGATGACCTGAGCTGATGGCGGAGCGCCGAGCCAAGGGCGAGCCCCTCCGCGCGGTAGATGTCAAAAGACTCCCGCCAGGCCAGGGAGGGCGTGACCGCCCAGGCGTCGCCCACGAGCAAGTTGGGGTCGACCTCGCCAAAAGACTTGTCCCAGTTCTTGGCCTCGTCCGAGGGCAGCCGCCCAGGGTCGCGCAGCGCTGCCGCCGCATCGGCAGCCCGAAGCGCGCGAGCAGCGCTTGAGGAGCATGGCCTGCAGTGCCCGACGGCGATGGCACCGCGCGCCCAGGGCCGCAGCAGGAGCTCCTGGATGGCGCAGCGCAAGCGCCAAACCCGTTTGGCCGACACCCGCGCCGCGTGCTCGCGCCCGTCCAGGTCGAGGCCGACGAAGCTCGCATGCCGCGTGGCGTCGACCTGCTCGTGGACCACGAACCCGAGCGACGAGGGCTCCTGCTCAACCTTGCCCGCCGCGGCCTGCACCTCGGCGCGCTGACGCCCTGAGACCAGGTAGTTGTCGACGTAGGCAGCGCCTGCGGCAGGGCGTCGAGGTCCGAGACGGACACCAAGGCTGCGGTCGCGGACCTGCTGCTCGGGCGCGATCCTCGCGCGAGCCAGCGACGCCTCGGAGACGCGCCGGCAGAGGTGCAGGGCCCAGGAACAGCCCATCAGCAAGACGGCGAGCTCGGGAAGCAGCCAGTCGGTCGCGCGCAGTGGCACCCCATCAAGATGAGAAGCTCCAGCCAGCCCTGCTCGCACGGGGGGGGGGGGGGCGAGAAGTGCTCGCAGAGGCCCTCCAGGGCCCGCGTCGCAAAGGCCCTCCAGGGCGCGCGCCGCGCACTGAACCACGCGTCGCCGCTGCCCTGCGTCTCCACGCGCGCCGCCGCTGGGCAGCTCGGCGCAGGGGGGCGGCTTGAAGCGGGCGTTGCTGATGCGGGTGTCGAAGACCAGCCGCTGCTGCCCTGACCTCTTGGCGACGACGAAAACTCCCAGGAGGCCGCGACGGCCGCGGGCGGGCGACAGGCGCGGCATCCCGCGGGCCAGCAGCTCGGCAATGAACTCGCCGTAGGTAGCGGGGTGTCGCAGCTTAGGATCAATAAGGTTAAGCGAGGCCGAGGTCGCGACGCAACGCAGCCGCCTCCGCAGGCGGGCGAAGCACGCGGGCCTTCCAGTCCTGCAGCCACAAACGGCCAGCCTCCAAGAGCGCGGACTCCAACGCGACGGGCGCCGAGCCGCCGGAAGGCCAGGACACGAGGTCCCCGCTGTAGGACACCATGTCGCCGCGCCCCGCGGTGTAGAGCGGGCAACTGGAGCACATGTCAGAGAGCGGCGAGGGCGGAGAGACGTCAGCTGGCGGGCCGCCGAACTTGACGTACTGGTCAGCGATGTAGTCGAGCGACTTCCGCTGCAAAATCGCAGGCATTATGCGCGCGGGCGGCGAGCCGCCACCAGCCATCAGTTGAGCGCGTCGATGCCGTCGCTGGCCCAGTCGAGCCGCGCCTGGCAGGGACCGCCCTTGTCAGCAAGGTGGTGATCACCAGGGCGCAGATGAGGGAGAGGAAAGACGTTTTGCTGACCACGACGGCAGGGGCGAGCGGCTGAAGGGGGGCCCTCCCGGCGGCCGCTGCAGGTCTGCAAGGGGAAGGAGGCTAGCTCTCGCCCGCCTTCCCGCCGCCGCCGCTCTGCGCCGCCCCGCGGGCGCCAGCGGGCGGGTGGAGCAGCTGCCGCTCCTCGCGCGCATTGCGGCGCTCCTTCGCAATGGCCAATTCGGCGGCAAGCTGTTTGGCGATCCACTCCGAGAAGGCGGGCGCGACCATGACCCCGCGCGTGGACTGCATCCCCCGCGAAGAAGAACTGTTCGTCTCCGCCAGGCCCCGGCGAGCGCGAGCTGACGAGCTTGTCATTGCACCGCTCCTCGCGTAGCTGCAGCTGGCGCGCCACGAGCTCCAAGCAGGCGAAGTTGGAGCCGTCGACCTGGTCGTGCGACTGGGCCGCCTGCAGGATCTTCGAGCACTCGAAGTGCACACTGACGATGGGGTCGTCTGGGGGCACGCCCGCGCCCAGGGCTGCCTTCCAGGAAAGGTGATGGCCCAGAGGAGACCCACCATTCTCCACCTGGTAGGTCGCCACCCAGTGATAGGTGATTGGGCCTGGGGCGGGCCAGTCTGGGAAGGCCGTCGGCCGCGTGAACTGCACGCTGTCCGACATTCCCGATGCCGCTGGCCCTGGCGATCGCGCGCCGTCGCAGCGCGCGGAGGTCGCCCGCGCCCTCGCCAAGCGAGCCGCCGGGAGGCGGCGCCGCAGCAGCGGGGGCAGGAGCAGGCCCATCAGGGGGAGGCCCAGCGACCAGGGCGGCCAAGCCCGCGAGTCCTCCGCCAACATCGGGGGCCGCGGCAGCGGGAGGCGCGGCGGGGGCACCAGCGGGGGCTGCCCCGGCGGCCGCAGCGCCCATGGCGACGGGGGCGCCCGCTGCGATGCCGCCGCCGAGGGGCCCAGGCCCTCCTCCAGCGGCGACCACAGCATCGGGCGCGCCGCCGAAGGGGGCAACGCCAGCAGGCCACTCCTTCCACCAGTTGCGCACGTCGGTGTTGGCGGCGTCGCACTCCTCGACGTACACGTCGAAGTCGGGGGTGAGCACCGCGAACTGCTCCAGCGAGCGGGTGGAACATCCCACGACGATCCGCTTGTGGGCGAGCCGAGGTCCAGGTTCGTCATACTCGACCCAGATCTCATCGCCCACCGCAATCATGAGAAGCGCCCTCGGCCTCCAGCGCGCGGCGGCCGCCAGGCTGGCGAGTCGGACGCAGCAGGACCCTCGTCCGCCAGCGCGGGCGGAGGGGGGGCGCGGCGCGCGCAGGCGCAGCGAGCCGCCTGGGCGCCGAGCGTCACCGCCCCGCGAGCAAACTCGGCCGCCAGCAGGAGCAGGCACCCGAGCACGGCCTCCCAACCCAGGGAGGACCGCCCGCCGCCGTCCGCCTCGCAAGGGGGGCAGACGGGGCAGGGGGAGGGGCAGGTCCGAGCCGCCTCCCTCGCGTCCAGCGCGGCCGCCAGGCAGTCCGCCACCGGCACCTGGACCCCAGCGGCCTCACCCGGCGCCGCGAACGGGCCCGCCTCCGCCGGCGGGGCAGCAGCTGCCGCGGGCGTCCGCGGCGCAGGGGGCGGGGGCGGCTGCGCGGGGCCCGCGCGCCACCACCAGCGCGCCAGGAGCCGCACGCCGAAATGACCTGCGAGCGGGAGGCCAAGCCCGATGCCAGCGAGGCGCATCGGGTGGAGGGCCTCTCCCTCCAGAAAAAGAAACTTGAGCAGTCGCGGTTGAGGACCGACGGCAACCTGAGAGCAACGCGCCACCGCGACGGCCTTCGGTTCACAAGAGATGAAACGTGCCAACACAGCCATGATCGAAATCATGACCCAGGTCAGCATCGTCAACACCGACATCCGCAACAACATCAGCAGCATTAGCATCAGCATCAACAGCAAGATCATCAACTTCAACATCATCATCATCATCATCATCATCATCATCATCATCATCATCATCATCATCATCATCATCATCATCATCATCATCATCATCATCATCATCATCATCATCATCGTCACCAGCATCATCGCGGTATCATTACCATAATGAGCACCAGCATCATCGGCATCACCATCACCAATAACATCAGCATCAACAGCATAATTTCCTTTTTCTTCCTGATGGATTTCACTGCCTCTATTTCCTCCTCATTCTCCTGCTCATGCTGTGAAATGTCCTCCTCCTCCTCCTCCTCCTCCTCCTCCTCCTCCTCTCAAAGTCTACCTCCAGACCTCTCCTATGGACAAAGGCACAACAGAAGGCGTCGGCTGCGACAGGGAGGGGGGGAGAAGGATGAGGGAATGAGTAGGAAGAGAAAGGAGGAAGGGAGAGAGGGAGGGAAAACAAAAGGAAGAGACGGGAAGTGGGAAGGAGGGAGGGAAGGAGGGTGAGGAGCACTTCAAGGCACAACGAATACGATGTTTGATCTCCACGTCATGGGGCCAGTCGAAACCCATCACTATGCCAAGATAATTGGCGCGTCGGCTATATGGGGACGATCTGAATGCCCATGTCGCCGATCGAGACCTTCGGCTCCTTCTGTCTGCCTGTGCCCCTAGTCGCGCTGCTCAAAATCTTGGTTTTGTTTTGAAGTACTTCGAATCCAACTCTGTTCGCGGCGCCTTTGATGTCACGGAACATGGCCTTGAGCTGCCTCAGCGTGCCGGAGGGTAAGGGACGGACGGTGAGGGAGGGAGGATGAGGGAGGGTGAGGGTGGGAGGATGAGGGAAGGAGCAGGGAGGAAAGGAGGATGGGGTTGGAGGAAGGGAAGATGAGCTAGGGCGACTGCGCTGACGACGACAACGCCGCCGCCGCCGACCTCCGCGCCGCTGCCCTAGACGCCGAGGGCCGCCGAGGGCCGCCGAGTTCTGGGCAGAGCAGCAGCTTCGCCTGCGTCTCCGCAGACCGCGTGTCGTGGCCGTGAAGCTGCGCGATGAGGGCGCAGTTCCGGATGGTCCTGGGGCTGCGGATGATCAGGCAGGGCTGCACCCACGCCAAACTTCGGAGGCGCTCGCAAGCTTCGTGGGCCCCGACATGAGGGGCAGAACGTCAGGGGGAGGGGGGCCGGCTCAGGGGGCACGACACTTCGCCGATGGATCGACGATACGCCCCCGACTGGGAATCCGCACGTTCTGGGGCGGGGCGGGCAGGCCCCGACGGCGATTGGCGATCGGGGGTCGATGCATCTGAGCTTATCCCCCCCCTACCATTGCCTCTGATGACAGCCCTCGAGCCGAACACGCTTCGGTTTACCCTCCTGACTGAAACCACACGGCGCCTCTTGCCGCGGAGCCGAACTCCGTAGGCCAAACACTCCTCGTACATTACTCGGAATGTGCGCCCCCAGGGCTCCGATCCTGGCGCAAGTGGTGTTTGGTCTGTTTTTTTGCTGACCTGTGAAGCATGATGCCGTGTCGACTTGTTCCGTATTCCATCGCGTTGTGGATCAAGTCGTCCTTGGCATCCGAATCCTGACCGAACTCATTTGGATCTTGAGCTCGAGCTGTATGCACGCGTAGCTCACCCAGGGCTGGTTGCAATAGAAACGTGCTCGAAATCTGATTCAGCTCCAGAACAGGACGAACTCAGAAGGGACGAATCCGAACTGAGGCAAAACACAACGACAGTGGATGGACCGAAACGCCGAGACAGGAAGATCCCCTCTGGGTGGCCGAGACACGTGAAAGCACGTGGCAAATAAAAGGGCCAATGACGCATCTTAGACCCCCCCTCCGCCCATGTATTTTTACGTCCGAACGGTCCGACGGCCTCATGTAAGAGAAAACAAGCGTCTCGCCCGAGGACCCCGCACTGATTCTGCAGAACAGGCGTTTCGCTCCAGACATCCTCAAACTCTGCAAAACAAGCCTTTCGCCTGGTACGTCCTCGACGCATGATGTAAAACTCACGTTTTGCCTCTGACATCCTCAGACAAAAATCACGAAGCCCTCTTCGACCCTGCAATTCACCAAGGAAAGCATCCACCGGCTCTCTTCGACCATGGCACCGGCGTGGGCCTCCTTCCCCTCCCACTGCGCGTTCCTGCACGCTCGGCTGGAGGAAACAAGAGGGGGGAAACGAGAGAAAGGAACAGGAGGAGGACGACGACGAGAAAATGACGACGACGACGACGACCTCACCACTTACGGAATAGTAGGTGCTTACCCACCCCCGAGATCATTCCACAGCTCACAGGAAGCCAGATGAGGAGAGGCGGAGGAGGAAGAGATGGTGATGATGGGGGAAAAGGGGAGGAGGACAACTTCGGACAGTCTCACCGCCCGGGCCCCTGAGCCACGCACGCGTGACCAACGGACCCGCCTCAGTAAGCGGGAGGCGGCCCATGCTAATCGGGACTGGTGGGATGACCTCCCTCCTGGGGCGGACAAGTAGGTCCCCAGCTGGAAGGGCAGGCGGTCGGTGGTGATCAGACCCCACGGGGGCCCGTCTGCGCTACCGTAAGCAGGGAGACGCCAGCATTACGCGTGAGTTGGCATGCGCGCCTCGGCACCCTTTGAAAAGGGGCGCCGCCTTGGAGCACCACCCGCGGCGGCCCGGAAGAGGCAGACACCAGAACAGGTGCAACTGTTCTCGCGGCTCGCGTGGAAGGAGGCTAACACTGGTGCGCCGCCGTTTGGGAGTGGAAGGGGGTTTGGAGAAAATCCTGGAGGTTGGTCCGTCTTGCCGGATCAGGGCAAAAAGCCCGTTGTGTAAGAACCCAGGGCTCTTGTACACGATGAAACCTGTCGATCAGCGGTCCTGACTGCTCCTGTGCGCGCTGTTTCAACGCTTGAAAACTGCCAGAGAGAATTATCATGCAGTCCTTTGTAGCCAGCAT